CTAAAGATCTAAAATACACAGTATGTCTTGCCGGCTGTGTGGCCAGTTTTATTTGGGACTATGATTTTAGGGCCCCATTTGGAAAATGTATATTTAATTTGAGATCTTTCATGTAGCACCAGTTTTGCGGGGTAGCTTGTACAGAAACGTGGTACTGTTTGCACGGTCAGCCACCCATAGCGTGGGAGCACTTACATATCTGCTGACATTCCTCAGAGACCCATTTCCCCCTCTTAGTTGACTTCCTTAGAAAATATTGCAAAAATGGAAGTACTTACTTTACTAGGTCAAGTAAACAGAAAACATACACATAATCCATTTTCAGATATATAGCCATGCTAAATAAATTATTAATAATTTCCTCATAGTATCCAGTAAGATATTCTGGTAGAAAAACTTGGTAAGTCTGGGATATATTGAAAGGCGGCTTAGGTGCTGTTCGATCCTCTGTTTTAATTTCTTCAGGATGCGGAGTGTTTGCACTGAATCAGCTGTATGGTAAATGAGGTTACAGACTTTTGCATATTATCTCACAGCTGAAAAGTTCTGAGTTGGACCCTTTGTTCTGCACATTGTTTGTCACAGTAAGCTAGCAACACTGATTTATCAGTCCTTCTCACGGATCAGATAAACAACTGAATAAGCAGATAAAAAAAAAGATTTTGTCAAAATCTAGTATTTGAAACTGGGTTTAAACTAATCATCTACCTCTTTAGAGAAACTGATTGCCCTCTAGTGGGGGAAAAAGTTAATACAGACGCCAAGGTTTCCAGTTGAGAGAACTGGGAGGGGACCAGCCTTGGTTCTGGGAACATCTGGGTCACCGGCTAATTTGTATTTTCTCCTTGTCTGGCAAGTGTCTTGCATTTTCTCATGTAAGGTCAGAGACCCTGTGACTACAGAATAATGTGTGTTTTTCCAAGACCAAAGAGGAAACTGGCCTTAGCTAGAGTTAGCTATCAGCAACCGAGGGGGGGTGGGGTGGGTGGGGAGATGGGGGGTGGGAGCCACGCCCAAAGCAGGTAGCCACCTGCTGGGAGGCCAGCTGCATCCAGCCCGTGTGGGTATGAAGCTACTGGGGTGGAGTGGGGCACATAGTCCTATTCTGTTGGAGTGAAAAACAATGGTGATTGATAAACCAGGAATTTTTCTTAAGATGGCCTGGAATCATCCACGAGAAATAACCCGAGTTAAATATGGAATTGATCCATCTTCCATTTAATTTTTAATTGTACAGATTTAACTTAAACTCCTGACTGATAGCAACTCCTAGATAGCCACAGTATTAAGTAACTACTTTGATATACATTATGGGGAGATAAACTACTTCATCGTGTGACTCGGCTCTGGCATTCTGAGAAGGCATTTCTTAAATCGGAGTGAAATGTAGGCTACTGCAGCATTTGCATCACTGAGAATGAGCTATGAGATGGAAGACATATTGTGCCAAATGCTCAAATGCTCATTCTACAATCGATCCGTTAGTAATTAAAAAAAAAAAACAAAAGTAAGTAAAAGCGTTTTTAATGCAATAGACGAAACTCTGCTAAAAATGATGATGACTAGCGGCAGAAGCAGTTGCCCTGACGATGAAAATCCTCCTCTCCCCTACATACTGGAATAATTCACCGCGAACCTGTAAATCACATCACAAAACCACTGTGAATTTCGACTAACCAAAATTCTAGATTTTAATACTGCAAACCATCCGATCTTAATTATCATTTAAAAATATACTGTACTTTCTTGCAGAGAATTTTAACATGCATGGACAAACACCACCAGTGTATTAATTTATACCATCATACTATCGATCTGTGTCGGGCTACACTGGGTCACGTAATGCTTACTGCACGTTCAGCTTACCCACCTGGCATGAAAATATGTATATCTGATTAATTGATAAGCTACTGCTGTTTCTTTTGGTTATATCCTGAAATCCTGACCAAAGCTTGATCTTCTCACGTCTAGTTATTCATCCACTTAGAATCTGCCTACTTCATTAGAGAGGGTAATGGGGAATGTTCTCATGCAATCATGTTGAATACAATAATTGTTTAATGAATCAGGAAAAAGCACCCGCCTTGGTGATTAATTGATTTTGCTTCACAACTGGAATGATTTCAAAACCCATTATTTTAATATTGCAGAGGTTGTGCTTCTTTTCATGATTTGCAAATGCAGCTGACTTGTGGCAGAAAGGACCCTTGCATTTGTCGGATTCGGGGTGGGACTTTTGTTACTGGCATGGTGGCTCTGCCATTTCGCCAGCTATGTTTCTGTGTAGAATTGAGACCGTATGGAGAATCAGTAATTGGAACAGTTTTTTGGGGGGGAAAAAAGTTAAAATATTGTGCATAACCTACATTTATGTATTTATAGATATAACTTTATGGAATGCACGCTGAAGATCATAATATCTCAATTAGATGTGTATATAGTCACCCATTGCACCACAGTTCTCTGCAGAGAATTTTCCAGCAATCTTTAAGCACATAAGCCCTGCCCTAAGCAAGCACCTGCACATGTATCCGACCGACATGATCATGCACAATCTGGACAAAACCTAAAATATATTTGCTTTATGACATAAAACGAGCAATCCGAGACGGAATTTGGGGGCCGGGGGTGGGGGGAGTAGAAAGAAGCAGCGTAGAACAGGATTAGTCCTTGACCAAATGCAATCGTTCAAACCTTTTGAACAAATAAGGCCACGGAGGCATGAAATAGTAATGACAATAACGATTTGAAATAATAACAACCCTGATGATGATGGCGATGAGTTCGTAGCCCCCGCCCCGGCAGCAAAAACCTCAGTGCGGGAGCAGAGCGCGGGGCTGGGCCGCCCCTTCCTCGGTTCTCAGAACCTTTCTGGACCTGCGGGTGAACCGCGAACTGTGGGACGTGGGGTAGCTCAGGACACTGCGCAGAAACCTGTCTCCCCGGCTTCACCCACGCGGGCGAGCGCGGGGCTCCGCAGGGCGCGGCGGGGCTCTGCAGGGCTGGCGGCGCTCCACCCGGCCGCCTGCCACGTGCGCCCCCGCGGGCTGGGAAGGGCGGGGCCGGCCAGGGCGCCGGAAGAGCCGGGGGCCCTCCCAGGGAGAGCGCCCAGGGCGTCTCCATCCTGGGAGGACCGAGCTTAGGCTGGGCCGGGGCTGCGGGGAAAATAGCCCCAGCTCCGCAGCTCGAGGTGAGAAAAGCCTTCCGCACCCCAGGGCGGGGGTGTCACCTCTGTGGTCTTGCGGCGGCCGGGGTGGGGCCGCGCCTTTGTGTGGCCCGGCGGGGCTCCAGCCAGCCTTTCTGCAGAGCCGCCGGGCGCCAGGATGCAGAGCCCCGGGGGTTATGCACATGATGGGGGGGGGAACTGCGGGGCTGGAAAAGGGGCTCTCGGACTGCAGACCCTCAGCCAGTCCCCTCTCCCCGCCAAGTCTCGGAGCCCAAGGTCTTCCCAGCTCTGCGCAGAGGGTGGGGCCGGGGCGGGGCTGCCCGGGGCGAACTGAGGCGTCGCCCCTTCCCCGCACCAGCCCCCAGGACCCGGCCCCTCCCTGCCTGTCCGGCCCTGGGCCACCAAGCGCGGAACTAGGGGGCACTGTGGGCGCAAGGCCGGGCGGGGGCGGGCGGAGGGAGACGGAGGCCCTGGATGCGGAATCTCATTTGGGCTGTGTCTCCACCGTCTGCCGCGCAAATCTAGGTTGAACCTATGAAAACTGCCGGTATTTGGCCTGTCTGACCTACAAAACGGATATTTCACGTGGCTCAATCTAAGACCTTGACCTCTTTTGTAGCCGTATTATAATATATACACATATCCAGAAGCTTTTCCTCAAAACGGTCAAATCAATGAGTTGAAAGAAGCCTTTATCCTCATCCGTGCCTAATCACCCGATGCAATGTGGTTTTGGAAAGAAAAATGTTAACACACTCAGCCCTGTCCCCCCTCTCCCCACCCCCCGCCCCGGAAAACAGAACAATGAGGCCAGGGTGGGGATGGGGGCGAGGGCGAGGTCGCCCTCCGAAGCCAGCGCTGGGAGTCAGGAAGCTAAGTGCGGGGCGTGGCGCTGTGTCTCCCCCGACCCCGCTGTTCTCCGGGGGGTCGCGCCGGTGCTCCCCACCCAGCCCCCTTTCAGCCGAAGATGCTGCGGCAGGTGGGGGTGCGGGGCGCCAGCTCCGCTCCGCTCCGCACAGGGCGGGGCCGTCCGCATTGTGCTCTCCCAGAGCTGCAGGTGCCTCCCAGGGGACCGTGCGTCCTCACACAAAGAAACCCCACCCCAGCGCCAGCAAAGCCCCTGTCCCTCCACCCCTTCCACTGCGCGCTCGTCCCGCCCCTGCAGCTGCCCACCCGGGCCCTCCGTGCCCTCCCCCACTTCCCCTCCTATCCCCCTCCCTTCCCCTAAAACAAAGGAGTGGGGCCCCCACCCCGCCCTTAACCTCCAGGACCAGCGGTTCCTCCCGCAAGACAATGCCATCAAATCTGCGGTCCCCGCCCGCTCCTCCTCGTCCCCACCCATCTTTCAACAGCCTCGCTGGGACCGCTTTGACTTCGCAATTCTTTCTCCTTTCTCCCGCTCCACTTTCTCTCCCTCATTTTCTTTCTATTTTTTTTTTTTAAATTGAAGAAATAAAGGACGTTACAAAGCACTTTCCAAAATTTCTTTTAAACCCACTTAAGGCAAACAGTAAAGATCCCCTCCCCCCCCAAGGTTGAGCCTTAATTTTAAATACGGAAACATAATAAATTCCCTTATCCATGGGAAGGCAACTTACCTGATTCTACTTTTAAAAAGAAATTCTTAGCTTTAGGTTTCCAAGGACCCATCCCTCTCTGCCCTCCCCAAATGCCCAAAGCCACGCCGTCTTTCCTTGCTCCTATGTTACCATTAGCGCCTTTTTTTTTTTTTTCTCTCTCTAAAAAATATCTCCCAATGCTTTCAGAGCTCTAAGAGAGAAGGTGAGGGTGGGCTCCAGGTCAAGCGGAGGGAGAGCGAGGCGCGCCGCCTTACCCATTGCTGTTTTAGCCATCGTAGGGTTGTGCAGACGCTGAGCAGCGGCGAAGGCGGAGGGTCCAGCTACAGCAGCCGAGAGAGCGAGAGAGAAGACTGAATAAGGCACTGAGTCTGCAGAGTGGGACCGTGCGAGAGAAAGAGCAAGAGGCAGGAGCCCATGAATAATTACCACTCAGAAACTCGAGCAGATTGGCTCCCAAGGTCCCCTGACATGACTCCTGCAGAGTCAGAATCTCCAGGCATTAAATATTGATTGGCCAATGGTGCTGGAGTACAAAGTACCACAGTGCAGTTTGAAATGGAAATCAGTCCTTCCCTGGCAGCTCCCCCCGTTTTGGGGGCCTGGTAGTACAGTCCAAGTAGAGTGGAGGCCTTAGCCCCAAGCTTCCCAGGAGCTAAGAACAGGCTCTACCCACCTGGGAGCCAGGAGGCTTGACTCCATTCACATGTTTCATTGCACAAATAGTCACAAAAAAGGGAACGGATTCGGAGGCCTGAGAAGTCTCCACAGCGTGCTGGCTGTTGGAAACATCTGTTTAAACATTGTTTTCACTTGCTCATCTTTTCTCTGTCGCCTTTGGCCCTGTCTTGAGTAGATTCTAGTCTCCCCGGGTGGCCCCACATCATCTATGGCGGCGACTCAAGTAGAACCGCTTTCTTGTCTTTTGTCTCCCAGGGCAGCTGGACTCAGATGCCTCTTAACCACGGCAGAGCAGGGCCTGGTGTTTTCTGCTCTTGGCACTGCTATAGGGCCGAGTAGTTCTGGTCCATCTAGGGACCGCGAGGAAGAGGATAAGAGTTAGCCTCCTGCGCCTGTGTCCTGCCCATCTGCTAACCGGGAACCAAGTTGACCGGTTGCTCTGGGCACTGGAGGGGCCGCAGGTGTGTGGTTGTCATGCTGCCCTGGAAATGTGAGGTTGCGTGGGTTGAAATCTGAATGACCTTCCCAGGTGTCTAAGGAGAACCCTTTACACTGACAGCTTCGTGAAGATGGAAGGCAAGCTCTGGAGCGTGATCGTTTTGAGGTCCAGAGACTCCACTGACACAGGCCAAGGAAAGACGTGTCGAAGTGACCGGTTGAGCGACGTGGTGCGTGAGGATCTCTGAGACCAGTTGCAGAAAGTGACTTTTCATTACAAATGAGGCATTCATTAGTTCATTCCTAATCACTTAATTAAGGTCATTCATTAATTCACCGGTTCTCACTTGACGCACGTAAATATTCATTGAGAACTTACCATGTGCCAAGCTCTGAGCATATAGCAATGAGAAAGACTTTAGGACTTGTCCTCACGGAGCTTTTAATCACTGACAGTGCAATACTTCTGTGACTTTACCGAACCTTCCTCCTATGGAGATCCACTTCGAAACTGTGGTCTTGACATTCAAAAAATAGGCAAAGATTTGCTAATTCCATTGCATTTGAGCTAAAAGAATAGCACATTGTTGAAACCATGAACATGTACAAGACCTTGCAAGTTTTTATAGAAATGATTAGAATTTTTCTCATGAATGAAATAAGCTCTTAGCAGCTTTTTGTCAAACCACATTTCAAAATTTCTTTTTAATCTCATGAATAATATGCATTTTTGAACGCATAAAACCATTTGAAAAATAACAGGGCACTCTCCTTGGTGCTGAAAAAAAATCTCTTCACCTCCTGTTAACTTGAAAGACATTTTAATCCCATGGACATCTTGCTGAATGATAGAAAGCTACTGGAACTGCATCAGTTCTGATATGCTGAGTCATTGGAAAAAATAAAAGATAAAGTGGAGATCAGTAAAATGATTTCTTGAAGAGGAGGATTATAAATTATTTTTCCTGTCATTGTATAGGTCTGCGATAACGAAGCAGCAAGAAAACAATATGGAAGTTGGCAGGGTCTGGAAATAAATAACCATTTTCTTCCTCTCTACAGTCATTTCCCACTTTTAATGTGAGAGCTGATTCCTTCTCAGCAGAGTAGTGACCAGTCAGGAATGAGGAATCTGCAGCAAGCCTGTGTGACTAACATCTTTAAAAGAAATACCTACTCTTCTTGGCCCCACCACACCCTTTCCCCTCAGGCTATGTGTCATCTCTACACATCCTTTAGCTTCCTGGGAGAAAAAAAGATCCCTAAGTCATGCATTAATGTCTTTAACAACTATCATTGGCAGTTGAATAAGATCTATTGCACTTTTGATCACGATGAGTAAAACAAAACAAAACAAAACACACTCTGTCTTCTAATCTCTCAGCCTCTGGTGAACTTACTGTGGATAGAAATGGGAGAGGGTCGAATACACAAGGACACGTGTCAGATGGGTGACTCCTTTTTGTGTCTGACTTTCTGGGTGCCAGGCTCTTGCTCAGTTATGTATGATTTTCAAGTAATGTCAAGCAGGGGAGAGGGTAGGTTAGTATGATTTACCGTAGAATATAAAGATAGCAGGCTAACATCAACCGGTTAAGAAAAACTAAATAAACTCAAAGAATTGAATTATTTTTGTTCTGTTTTGTTTCAATTATTTGTTTCAATTTATTTGTTTCAGTTATTGTTTTTTCTTTCCCTTGTCAGTCATGCATCTTAGCCAGGGAGAGTGGGGGCGGAATAGGAAGAGAGAAACGATCTCATATTCAATTGTTAATTCATTCGTTTGTTCAGCTACTTCATTCATCTAACAAATATTTATTTAATGAAATTTCAAACTTTTATATTTTGAAATCAGCTAAGCTTCTCCTTAGTGTCTAAAAAAATATAAAATGAAGGAAAAGGTAAGCCCAACCTCTCTAAGAAAATGTTATTATTTTTAGAGGAGGAATATTATCCTTGGTATCAGTTAGAGTCCTTTTGGTTGCAAATAATAGGAAAAGAACAACCCAAACTGGCTCCTCTAACTACAGAGGTAGAGTCAGCATTTCCCGAAGCAATGGTCTTCATGGGGACAGGTGGGCCCCCATTAAAGAACAGGTACTAGATCTGTTTGAGGTAAAATAAGGACAATGATAC